TAAGGGTTTTTTTATATTTAAAAATCTGTCTGACACTGAAAATCTGTTGTATTGTAAAATTTATTATATCAAAATTCATTGTAGAAAAAGTTGACTGTATTTTATATGAGAAATGGTTCATGTATAATAATTATAATAATGCAATACTTATGTGACATAAAAGCCTATATTAATGCCTAGTATTTTCTTTCCCGAACAGAAATAAATTTTTATTTCACTCTATAAAGTAATACTATTTTTTATCTGAGCTAAATATTCTATAAAAATATAACGCTATATCTGAAACTAATATACTTTATACTTTAGTTTTCACTTCTACTACTGTTGCTGAAAATGAGATGGTCTCGCTGGCAGACAAAATTAAAAAATATGATATAATCAAGCTTATAGATTTATTACGTAAAAAAAGATTTATGATAACTTAGAAATAATTTGTAAAGAAAAGATTAATGGCTTAGACTTTTTTAACTTAATTTGAAAAGAGCTTAAACAACATGAAATGAAATTGAAGCTGACAAAAAGATTCATAAAGTTTGCCAAGAAGTATAAGAAGAAAAAGAAGCATCTTATCATAGTTTGAAGGAGGTATTAGCGAAATATGATATTAAAAGAATAGCATAATAAGTATTCTACAGTTTGAACTAAGTAAGTAAGTTTATACTGCCCATTACTATTATAAAAAATCAGGTTCACAAATTTTATTTAGTCTTTATCATATTGACAAGAAGAATTTAACGTTTAAGTTCTATATAGAGAATATACTACGTAGGATAAAAAATATGAGAGACAGTTAGCAGTCAGTAGTAGAGGTTGGAACTGGTTATTGATATCAGATTTATAACTGGTTTTTATCGTATCAGATTAAAACTGGTTCAGAATTTTGTAAAATCGATAACCAATTATATTTATAATCGATAACTGGTTTTTATCAGTTTATAGTATAGGAGTACAGATGACGGTAAATTCTATCATTTTCATTTGAAAATCAATCACATACATACATTATTATGCATTATTGTAAATATTTATATT